TATTAGATATAACAACATAATTAAAATATAATTAATAATATATATTTTATAAAATTATTAATGTTTTATATATAAAAAAGGATGAAACCGAAATGGCCCGTTCTGAAACCGGAACGGGCCGTTCTGGTTGCACTTTTGGTGTGTTAATTTTGCACCTGGAACGGGCCGTTCCGGATGCAAATTAACGCACCAAAAGTGCAACCAGAACGACCCGTTCCAGTTTCAGAATGGGCTGTTCTGGATCCAGGTGTTTTCAAAAAAATTGTCATCCACGTGGCATTCATGTGGCATCCACGTATGCATCTACGTGGCATCCACGTGGCCAAAAGTTAACTTCGTTTAAATAATTTGGAAGGAAGTCCCACATTGAAACCAATTAATTAATTTAGGACTAAATTGAAACCAATTAATTAGTTTGTGACCAAATTGAAACTAAAAATAAAAGTGGGACTAAATTGAAACAAATAATTAATATAAGGGACCAAAATAAGATTTTAGCCTAAAGTTAATTGTTTATTTTGTCTCTCTGTCTTTTTTTCAACTTTCTCACTAATAAAAAAATAATATATGTACATATACTTTTATAGAAAGAGAGAGTATTTATGAATGCATATATATAATTGTTGGGATGCAAGCAAAGTCTCACATTATTCAAATAAGAGGATGAACATGAGTTTATACACAGTTGTCTCCATTGGTTGAGAGAGACCTTTTAGGTGATGTCTAAAAGCAAATCTGTGAGGATTTAGGCCCAAAATGGACAATATCTCACTAATGTGGAGACATGTATATATGAGTGGTAACTCTCCCTTGAGCTCAACAATAATAGGTAAAACTAAATATTTAAATATTTTCACTACAAGAAAACGGTGAATAAGCGTCGGTTAATAGCCTACGCTATTTTAAATATAGCGTCAGCTTTTTTGACACTAATTAAATTTAAATTTAAATTAAATTAGTGTCGGAAAAGCCGACGCTATTCTTCAAATATAACGTCGGCTTTTCTGATGCTAAACTTAAAATATTTAATTTAAATTTATTTTAAGTTTAGCATCGAATTTTCCGACACTAAACTTAATTTAAATTTAGTGTCGAAAAAGTCGACGCTACATCTTAAAATAGCGTCGGCTTTTTCGACAGTATAGGTGCTTTGAAAGAGATAAAGATAATTTTTTCAATGTTATATACGCATAATGTGTCCCGGTACACTTGGTTATCAAGTTCACTTAAGACCTCAAGGTTATGATAAGCTGGAAAAAATAGATAAATAAAATAAAATAAATTTTGTGCCAACATAGTGTCGACTTAACCGACAATAAAAAATTAAAATAAATAAATTTGTTAGTGACGGCTTAGCCGACAAAAAAAAATTGTGTCGACTTATTTAGCGCTAGCCAAAAACCAACGAATAACCAACATCGATTTTTATGATTTAGAATCGGCTTTTAGACGACTCTAAATCGAAACATTCTTGTAGTGTTTTATGTATTTTTGATGAATTAAATATATGTTTATAATCTACAGAAATAGAGTTGGTGTACAACCTTTTTTATTTTATTTTTATTTTGATTTCACGAAAAGTTTATTGTTTATTTGTATTCCTATTAAATAAATTATTTACTCTAAATCCTAATTAAGATGAGGATCTCCTTTAATTAAGTAATAAGATGATTACTTAAATTCACTTTTGGTCCAATAGTTTTATAACTGTGAAATTTTAGTCTTCAAAATATTTTATTGTATATTTGATTATTCTAATTTTTAAAATTAAACTATGTTGGTCCATTATTAACATGCAATCCGAAAATTAAATAGAAAAGGTTCAGGTGTTTGTGAGTGACAGTACCTAACAGTTATTTAGCTACATAGAAAAATAACTGTTAAAAATTAAAAATAAAATTGATATAAAAATATTTTAGTTGATTATAAATTGTAATTGAAAATAAAAATTTAATACATATATAGTAAAAAACTATATTATTCCTCACATAATAGTTTCACTCATGGACACCTTAATATTTTATGCTTAATTTTGAATTAATTTTTATATATTAAACACGAACATTTATTTTACGTGACAATAATTTTTGTAATTTTAGTAAAAAAAATTTTCAAAAAGAGGGTTTATAGAAATTTTTTTATCTAATTTAATTTTTATTTATCATAATTATTTATAATTAATTAAATATTAATATTTTAAAATAAATTATCAATAAATAAAAATATTTTTTTATAATATAAATTATTTATCATAAATCTAAAATATAATTTTATTTAAAATAATAGTATTTATGTATATATAATTTATTATAAATTTTAATTATGTATATATATATATATATTAAATATGCGTGTATT